GATTTGCAGCAATCGATTGCATTCCAGATTCATTCAAAGTTTTACCTTAAACGTCTATCGGTTAGATAGAAAATTAGCCATTTTCATAATTCACGTCTGTTGAAATCAAGCATGACAAATTGCAGACCTACTCATAATCGATAACACACATACATATATATTTATAGATCGATAACTATTATTGAATACAATTCGTTGCAGTAAGCAGACAGTAAATACTACAAATTGTATGCTATTCAAAATCGATAGCAGTGCTCGATACACATACCGATAATTATCGATATGCGATATCGATAGCTTATAACGCTATTTGAAATATTTCTGAACTGAATTTGAGCTCATCCTAAAAATACTTGATTTGCATTTCCAGGATAGCTTATAGCTAAGCGATAAGTATGGTTAATGCCAATCGATAGCTACACTTATCGAGGACTAGCACTATGAAACTAAGCTATATATAGATATATGTATGTACATATATGATTATTAACATTAAAGCCTATACTTTAGGACAACGAACTCACTTAACGATAATTGTGCTTATCGATAACCACTTGGCAGCGATGCAGCCTGCAAATAGAGAAAGCTTTATGGGCCTAGAGGTTATAGCTGACCTATGTGCATACTGCCTGAGGACTCATGTCTAATGAGCTTATACCTTTCCCCGCTCGCTCTCCTCTCATAGAGTATAATATTGGTCGTCTATCGAAAATGTAATGTTATTGTTTTAGTCTGTTTTGGTGATGGCATGATGGTGCTGCTATTGTTTGGTTATTGTGTGATTTATGCAGGGTCATGTTATTCATGTACAGGTCTGTGGGTCCCCGGCATTGACCCCTTAAGGATAGCCGCTCCACGCGCCCGGCACACACCTCGCACTTATCCTCACACGCACTTAAGGACAGCAACAAAGCGCAAATAATTGTTGCTGAAGGAGTGGAAGAGGGTGAGGTAGGGGGAGGGAGAGAGAGAGTGAGAGTGAGTGTACGAGCAGGAGTTTTAGTTAGGCTGCGTCCCACTTGAAATGGCACTGAATAAATCGGCATTGGGGCCATTGCCGCACATTTCTGACCCTGTTCAAATACTACATAAGTAGTCAAAGCTCATTTATGCGCATAATTTTTACTTATAATTTGCTTTTTCCTTTCCTTTCCGTTCCTTGCCGTTGCGTTCCGTTCCGTTCCGTTCCTTGCCGAATGCGTAGCCAGTTGAAATTTTCTGTTTCTTAGTTTCTTAAGCGCTCAGTTCGTTTTTGTTCTCTATCCCTGCCCCTCTCTATCACTCACTCGCTCACTCTCTCTCTCTCTCTCTCTCTCTCTCTCTCTTTGTATGCGATGCCATTCATTGATGATGATGATTATGATTATAATGGAGGCAAGTTTCTAAATTGGTATTTGTAGCCATGACAAAAGTTGTGCCATAATCGCTGCAATGGCTAAGAAAAAGTCAACTAAGAGCCAAATGCTTATATTTATTTATAGAATTCCTCAATTTGATACGCAACGCGTATCCCCAGCCAACCCCCCCCTCCCCCCTTAGTGCTCCAACTACCAACTGCTCCTTTGTGGCTCCAGCTCCCCACATTTCAGCTTCATCTAGCCGAAATGACCCCAACAGCCGCTAACTAAACTATTCAGAGTTCACCAAATGGCCAATCTATATATATGTAAATATGATTTACATAATATTTAATATGTACATACATGTATGTATGTATATGTGTTATATTATTCATTTATATGTTCATATATTTCCACACCCTCGATTTATGGGCTCAAGCCAAATGCTAATTGTACATGCTAATAAATCAGATTTCAAATACATTTTCATGCTAATTGGAAATTTATTTAAATGCTGTCGATGCTGACAAACAAACATACATTTAAATACATACATATATTCATAAAAATAAATCAATTATTCAATTTCAATGATTTGCAAAAACTTTACTTTTAAAGTTAACAGACATTGAATTTGTTTTTAAATTTATTTTTAAAGTCAATTTTCACTTTATATATTAGCATTAGCTAGAGAAAATCCAATAAAAGACCAATTCAAGTATTAAATCTTATTGGCTATATAAACAGAAGAAATGGCAATGGAAAAGGAAGGGAAATCTTATTGGATTGGATCGATGGCCGATCCAATTAGCAAATCCTATTGGATATTCAAAATGCTAGAGGCTATCGATAACTTAAACAGCTGCTCAAATATAACTATCGGATGAATACCAGACGATTGAATTTTAAATAACTTTCAAGTTAATTAAAAGAATTTAGTTAGAATTTCTCATAGAATTTTAGTTCATATCCTTGAAATGGCACAGCTTCAACAAACTATCCGCATATATTACCCTATACATATCCCTCCAACCGAAAATTCACAAATCTTGCACTTCTTTGCAGAGGAGCAGTGTCATCCGAGCCCGTGTGGTATTAACACCAAATGCGAGATTATTAATGGCGTGCCCACCTGTTCCTGTCTGCATGGCTACCTGGGCAATCCGTTGAGCGGCTGTCGCCACGAGTGCGAGCGAGATAGCGATTGTGGCGGACGCGATATGTGCAGCAATTTCAAGTGCGTGCCCTCGTGCGGCCAATGCGGCATCGGCGCCAATTGCAAGTCGGTATCGAATCACCGGGCAGTGTGCGAATGCCCCAAGGGCTATATTGGTAGCCCGTATACGGAATGCCGGCCGGAATGCTATGGCGATTCGGACTGTCCGGCTGGCCGGCCGGCCTGTTTCTATGGCATCTGCAAGAACACCTGCGACGGCGCCTGCGGCATTGGTGCCGATTGCAATCTGCGCGGCTTGACGCCCGTCTGCAGCTGTCCGCGCGACATGACCGGCGATCCCTTTGTGCGCTGTCGCCCCTTCACCAAGGAGGATCTCTGCGAGCCGAATCCGTGCGGCACCAATGCCATCTGTGTGCCCGGCCACGACAACACCGGACGCGAGCGACCCGTCTGCAACTGCCTGCCTGGCCACACCGGCAATCCGCTCTCCCATTGCTCACGTGTAAGTCAATAGCCGCCAATCACTGGCCCAATAACTATTATATATGTATATTTATATGTATATATGTATGTTTTATTTTGTGTTCCGCACAGGGCGAGTGCCTCAGCAACAACGAGTGCCCGGACCACAGGGCCTGCATCAACTACCAGTGCGTCGATCCGTGCATTGGCAAGTGCGCCACCGGCGCCAGCTGCCAGGCGAAGGCACATCTTGCGGTCTGCCGCTGTCCACAAGGACAGACAGGGGATGCGCTCGTCTCCTGCCGCCAGACGCGCACCTTCCCAGTGGCCAAATACCACTAATGTGACCCCACCCAACCATCTGAGTGGTTGGAGAACGCCGACCGCACTGCCTGCCAACACACGCTTTACACACTGTTTTCAGAAGTCGGCCTCCAATAAACGAAATCTTTATTTAATGCACTTAATTCACTGACAACTTTCGACTTACACTGCAATAAAATGAGCTACATATTTATGTATTTTAATAATAAACAAACAAAAAGTGTACATTATGCTTCGAATAGTAAAGTTTAAATATGATGATTACAGGCATATCAAACATTCGCTTACAAGACTCAAAATACAGAACCAATCATTCTAGTTAAAGATACAGAAAGTCTTTGCCTGTGCTTTAATGAGAACTTACAAAAGCTCTGTGGCAAAGAAAATTCAAATGTGGCGCCCAATGTCAACACACATTCGATACGCAAGTAGGGCTGGCTTATGTTATCGATAGACTACAAATATATCGCATTAATATTGACGTTGCCACATGTTGTAAATTTCACTTTAAAAACAGTGCATCAAAATATATAACTAATAAAAAAATATACAAATACATAACGACACTGGAATATTTTTTTTTTTAATTAAAATAAATTTTATTATTTAATAATGCTCATATCATTTTTCTCTTGTGTCCTCTTAATACGGCATGCATGCATGAATACATATGAATATATCCATATATATATATATATTTATATATATATATATATATATGTATATATATAT